AAGGGACACTTCCAAGCTCATTCTATGAAGCCAGCATCACCCTAATACCAAAACCAGGTAAAGACAACACAATGAAAGAGAATTACAGGCCAATATCCCTCATGAACATAAATGCCAAAATCCTCAACAAAATCTTAGCAAATTGGATCCAGCAGTACATCAGAAAGATCATACACCATGACCAAGTAGGATTTATCCCAGGGATGCAAGGATGGTACAATATCTGCAAATCAATAAACGTGATACATCACATAAACAAATTGAAAGAAAAAAACCACATAGTCATATCAATTGATGCAGAAAAAGCATTTGACAAAATCCAACACCCATTTTTGATAAAAACTCTCAGCAAGGTGGGAGTAGAAGGATCATACGTCAACATAATAAAAGCCATATATGACAAACCCACAGCCAACATCATACTCAATGGACAAAAATTAACACCATATCTTCTAAGAACAGGAACAAGACAGGGATGCCCACTCTCACCACTCCTGTTCGACATAGTACTGGAAGTATTAGCCATTGCAGTTAGACAAGAAGAAGAAATAAAAGGCATCCAAATTGGAAAAGAAGAAGTAAAATTGTCCTTATTTGCAGATGACATGATATTATACATAAAAAACCCTAAACACTCCATCAAAAAACTACTAGACTTAATACATGAATTTGGCAATGTAGCAGGATACAAAATTAACGCCAAGAAATCTATGGCATTTCTATACACCAATAGTGAACTTACAGAAAGAGAGACAATCCCATTCACCATCGCACCAAAAAAATTAAGATATCTAGGAATAAACTTAACTAAAGAGGTAAAAGACCTCTACTCAGAAAACTATACGACATTGAAAAAAGAGAGAGAAAGACATAAATAGATGGAAGAACATACCATGTTCTTGGATTGGTAGAATCAACATCATTACAATGTTGCAGCGATCCTGAGAAAGAACAAAGTAGGTGGGATCTCAATACCAGATATCAAGCTGTATTACAAAGCCACTGTTCTCAAAACTGCCTGGTACTGGCACAAGAACAGACATATAGAACAATGGAATAGAATAGAATGCCCAGAAATCGACCCAAACCAATATGCTCAATTAATACTTGACAAAGGAGGCAAGAACATACAATGGAGTCAAGACAGTCTCTTCAATAAATGGTGTTGGGAAAATTGGACAGATACATGCAAAAAAAATGAAACTAGACCACCAACTTACACCATACACAAAAATAAACTCAAAATGGATAAAGGACTTAAATGTGTGATGGGAAACCATAAAAATACTAGAAGAATCCAAAGGCAACAAAATCTCAGACATATGCCAAAGCAATTTCTTCACTGATACAGCTCCTAGGGCACTTGAAACTAAAGAGAAAATGAACAAATGGGACTACATCAAAATAAAAAGCTTCTGCACAGCAAAAGAAACCATTAACAAGACAACAAGAAAGCCCACTGCCTTGGAAAACATATTTGCCAATATCATATCTGATAAGGGCCTAATCTCCAAAATTTATAGGGAACTCATACAACTTAACAAAAGGAAGATAAACAATCCAATCAAAAAATGGGCAAAGGATCTAAATAGACACCTTTCAAAAGAGGACATCCAGAAAGCGAAGAGACATATGAAAACATGCTCAAAGTCACTAATCATCTGAGAGATGCAAATCAAAACAACAATGAGGTACCATCTCATACCTGTCAGATTGGCTATCATCAAGAAATCCACAAACGACAAGTGCTGGAGAGGATGTGGAGAAATAGGAACACTTGTGCACTGCTGGTGGGAATGCAGACTGGTGCAGCCCCTATGGAAGACAGTATGGAGTTTCCTCAAAAAACTAAAAATGGAACTTCCATTTGATTCCATGATCCCACTTCTAGGAATATATCCCAAGAAAACAGAAACACCAATCTTGAATTTGGGGAAACTTTGTTTGTGGCCCAACATATGCTCTATTTTTGAAAATGTCCCTGCTCCTGTGGCTGCTCCTCCTCGGACCCATGTGGGCTCCTGCTTAGAAGTTTTTTTCTGATTAGAAGTCTACACCGGGAAGGCCGGGGAGGGTTGGAGGGCAGGAGGGGGGGGGGTTAGATATCAACCGAAGGACTTGTATACATGCATATAAGCATAACCAATGGATACTGGGAGGTAGGGGAGGCCAGGGGATTATTAAGGGCTGGGGGGGAAAAAAGGAGACATATGTAATACTCTTTGTAATACTTTAAGCCAGGGGTCCTCAAACTTTTTAAACAGGGGTCCAGTTCACTGTCCCTCAGACCGTTGGAGGGCCGGACTATAGTTTTAAGAAAAAACTAGTCGGCTGCTAAGCAACAGACAGTGGTGGCAAAAATACCCGGTGGGCCGGATAAATGTTTTTGGCAGGCCGCATGTGGCCTGCGGGCCGTAGTTTGAGGACCCCTGCTTTAAGCAATAAAACAATTACAAAAAAAAAAGTAAAATCCTATATAATAAAAGCCTAATATGCTCATTTTGTCCAATCATCCAGTCAGCCATTCAACCAATCAAACTGCAATCCTATCTAATAAAAGACAAAAGGTTAATTGACCATACCTTCGCTATGCTTCCCATTGGCTAATCAGGGTGATATGCAAATTAACCGCCAACAAAGATGTCGGCTAATTTGCATATGTAGGCTCCAAGCGGTGGAGCGAAGCCAAATGGCCCCAAAGCTGGCCGAGCAGCGAGGCCTCCCGGCCCTGGGATCAGTGGAGCAGTGAAGCCTGATGGCTGGGAGGGGGGCTCTGGCTGGAGCCCAGCCAGAGCAAAGGCCTCGGTCCTGGGTGCCAGAGAAAAACTGGTGCCAGCAGCCAAGGGAAGGGAAGGCCTATTGCACGAATCTTCGTGCAACAGGCCTCTAGTATGCTAATAATATGCTAAGGCCGCTCAACCTCTCACTATGACGTGCACTGACCAACAGGGGGCAGACGAAACAACTGGTAGGTTAGCTTGCTGCTGGGGTTCGGCCAATCAGGACTGAGAGGGAGAGGCCGGACACACTCTGGAGCCCTCCTGCAGCTGACCAACCTCCTGCATCCCTCCCCAGCCATGATCATGCACTGGTGGGGTCCCTTGGCCTGGCCTGGCCTCTGCCCTCTCGAATTCGGGCTGACGGACCCCTGACCCCGCCCCCCCTTCCCAGTGTATGAACTGGGCCTCTATACTTAAGTAAGTAAATATATAAATAATTGCCCCTTCCCAAAGGGTAGAGAGTGGGATTGGTTTAGGGGGAAGTTTCTTCAAACCTGTGCTATTTAAACAACTCTTGGACACAGAGAATAAACGACAGATGGGCTAGTTCCAAGCAGCCCTGCCAGGACAAGGGGGGCTGTGCCCCAGTCCTGACCCAGCTGCCATTGAGGGGAGAGGGTGGCTACTCTCCCAGTCAGGCCCATAGCACTCAGCCAAGCCATATTGATTCACCCTCGGGGTAGCTGCCTTCATCCCCTCAGCTCAATTGATCCATTTTCTCCCATCTCAGAGGAAGAGTGCTCCTGTTCACCCCTCTAAGGGAATGTGAGGACACTGAGGCACAGGGAGGGGAGGGTTCCCAGCCCAATCCTCACTTGGATGAAGTTAGGGATAAAGGAGCTGGGAGCTAGTGGCAAAGGAGGGGGCTGGGTGACTTCTGTCCTGGAGAAAACAGGACGCCAGGGAATGGGGGGCCCTTGGCCATCCCTATGGATATGTTGAGGGCCCAGAAAGAGGAGTTCTTTGTTTTAGGTGGAGACTGGAGGGAGAGGTGTTTCTTTGTGGAGTGGGTGGTAGGTCTTGGGAGCCCTCAGGGCCTTTTGAGGTCAGATGCCTCCAAGATGCTGACCTGCTGGGCTCAGCTTGGACACAGGCTCAACCAGGTTGCTCCAGGCCCCTCCGCGGCTGGCCTGGGCCATGGACTCGGAGACTTTCGGTCCCTGTGCGAAATGACACTGTCAGCGACACATCGAGGGAGCTGGGCCTCCCGTCTGGTGACTTGTCCGGGGGACTGAGTGGGCTGTTAATGGCTCCTTGGAGATAGTTGCTCTCTCTCTCTCTTTAGTTAATCCTTAACCGTTTTTCCATTGATTTTTAGAGAGAGTGGAAGGGAACAGAGAAACATGGATGTCAGAGAATCATATTGATTGGTTGCCTCCTGCACACACCCGGACTAGGGCCGTGGAACCTGCAACCAGGTACATGACCTTCACCGGAATCGAACCTGGGACCTTTTAGTCCGCAGGCCGACGCTCTATCCACTGAGACACCCCAGCCAGGCCTGGGGAATAGTTGCTCTCAATGCAGGTGACACTGGGCTCAGCGCTCCAGGGAGGCGAGCGAGATATTGACCAGACAAAGACGCAGTAACCCGAACTCCAGGCAGATGGCGCCCAGAGCACCGCCTGGGGACAGAAGGAACCACCCCGCAGCCCATGGGCCTCTTCCTCCCAAGGCGGGTCCCTGGGTCTCTTTGTTCCCCTTACAGGAGCCTCTTGGAGCGTCCCTTCCCCAATTGCGCCAGAGGGGGGCACTGTTGCTGGTAAATGAAACCAGGTTAAATCCCAGAAGCGCGGATAAGTGGTGCCCGTCTCCCCACCCACAGTCATCACAAAGCCAGCGCACCTCAGCCCGCGGGCAACCAAAAGCGCGATGTGCCCCCCCCACCGCACCCCATCCTCCGCCCCGCTTCCCAGGCGGGTCTTCCCGGTCTCCACGCAACAATGTAGCTGGGGCTGCGCCAGCGGCCTCATTTGCGAACGCCGCGGCTCGGCCAATGGGCTGCGCTGGGGGCTTTGGAACCCGGTGTTGCCAACCGCCCGGGCGCGCGGGTGCTGGAGTGTCCCCGGCGAGGCCGTGGCTGTGCCCGCGGACCTGGAGGGGGGCCCGGCGGAGCCCAGCGCGGGGGGACCGGCCCTGGCGCCCGTTCTCCCGGCGCTGCGCGTCCGCGAGTCCCGGCCCAGCTTAGACACGACCCAGTTCCGGGGGCGCCCGCCATCGATGTCGGTGGGGACGCTGAAGAAGCAGTTACTCCAAGCCAGCCAGGTGGGGGCGCGGAGCGGGGCGCGGGAAAGTGGGGGGCTGGGTCCCCGATGCTCCGGGACCTGAGGGCTCCAGATCTACAAGTGCGCGGTGGTGGAGTCAGGGTCTCAGGGCTGAGAATGTGGCGGGTCGCGCTGGGAGGAGGACCCTGCGTCCTGCCCTCCTCGTGCTCGGCGCTCCACGCGCGTGCGCCTGGCGATGGACCCGCTGGACTGCGCCTCTCTCTGGGCCAGGGTTCCCACCGCCGTCCTTCCTCCCACTTAGTCTCTCCAGGTCGCCCCGGCCTGGCCCCCAGGTGGGGGGACACCTAGACGGGTGAGTCAATAGTGTAAGACACACCCCCACGCACGCGCAGAGGATAACAGACGACACTGCTGGGGCGTCCTGGAAACTTCCCGGAGGAGGCGACGTCTTAGTCGTGGGAGAATGAAGTAGGAGGAGCAATTGGGGGTTGGGGGCTGGGAGGAAAGGAGGAAGGGCGTTCTGTGCTGAGGAGGCAGGAAAACTGGCCTGGAGGCGTGTGGACGTTGGTGTGTGTGGACGTTGGTGTGTGTGGACGTTGGTGTGTGTGGATGTTGGTGTGTATGGATGGTGTGTGTGTGTGTGTACGTGTGTGTACGTGTGTATGTACGTGTGTGTGTGTGTGTGTGTGTGTACACGTTGGTGTGTGTGGACGTTGGTGTGTGTGGAGAAGCCAGTTTGTATTCCAATCCTGCAGCTTCCTTCGGCCACGGCAGGGCTCTCCCTGTAAAACCTGTCATATCCCTGCACCCCTGGACCTGCACTCGGGCTCCCCCTCCCCACCGCCCCCCAATGTTGCGAGAAGCAGGTGAGGGACAGCCTTTGGAATACACATTCCTGAAGTCTCACCCTGCGCCTCCACACATTGGCTCCTGAAAAGCTGCTGGGATGAGCAGGGTTCTCTTCTTGTTGCCTCAGTCCCAGGCCTAGGCTCTCTCTGCCCTCCATCTCTCCCCTTCTCTGGATGCTGCCTGAGCGATGTCGGGGTTCCGGCTGGGAGCCCTGGGGGACAGGAGTGCCCTTCTGGGAGATAGTCCTCCAGGAGGATCAGATGGGGAGGGGAGATGGACTCCCTGCTGATCCTGGGCGCTCTGAGGGGTCTCTGGGGGCAGGCGCATCTCCTGACCTGGGATACAGTCTGCGAGGCCAAGGCAGGGGCTACAGACCTTTTGGCCTTTCCAGCCTAAATGGAGATTTAAAAATATAAGTGCAGCCCTCGCTGGTTTGGCTCAGTGGATAGAGCGGCAGCCTGCAGACTGAAGGGTCCCGGGTTCCATTTCTAGCCAGGACACATGCCTGGGTGCTGGATCCCCAGTGTGGGGCATGCAGGAGGCATCCGATCCATGATTCTCGGTCATCATTGATGTTTCTCTTCTCTCTCCTTCTCCCTTCCTCTCTGAAATCAATTAAAAAAATACATTTAAAAATACCTATTTTTTATTTTTTATTGAAACATCAGTGATGGGAGACTATCATGGATCGGCCGCCTCCTGCACACCCCACACTGGGGATCAAGCCCATACATGTGCCCCGACTGGGTTCATAGGTTGACGCTCAACCACTGAGGCACACGGCCGGGCTCACCTCCTCTTTTGAAAACTTTGCCTTTACTGGGTATGGATGTATTAGGAACAGATCTTAGAGATGACCAAGACATAGCTATGGGATAATTCAGGTTGGTTTCTGACCACTGACCCACTGTGACAAATGGTTAAAATCAGGGGTCCTCAAACTTTTTAAACAGGGGGCCGGCCAGTTCACTGTCCCTCAGACCGTTGGAGGGCCGGACTATAGTTAAAAAAACAACTATGAACAAATTCCTATGCACACTGCACATATCTTATTTTGAAGTAAAAAAACAAAACGGGAACAAATACAATACTTGTATTTGCATGTGGCCCGCGGGCCGTAGTTTGAGGACCCCTGGTTAAAATGTTAGGAAATCATTGGTATTGGAGAAATACTAGGCTAAGTGATGAGGTGGTTTGTTTTAAGCACCCATAATCTTGCAATGTTGCAGATTTGGTGAAGAAATTTGGCTGGGTTTAATATCACAAGAGGGAGCAGGGTAATAAAGAATGGTAGATGTTGCCCTAGCTGGATTGGCTCAGTGGATAGGGCGTCGGCCTGTGGACTAAATGATCCCAGGTTCAATTCTGGTCAAGGGCACATGCCTGGGTTGTGGGCTTGATCCCCAGTAGGGGGTATGCAGGAGGCAGTCCATCTATGATTCTCTCTCATCATTGATGTTTCTCTCTCCCTCTCCCTTCCTCTCTAAAAGCAATACAAATATATTAAAAAATAAATGGTAGATGTTTCTCTTAGACATTTTGTTGTTAATCCTTTCCCGATGATATTTTTCCATTGATTTTAAGAGAGAGTAGAAGGGAGGGGGAGAGAGAGAGAAACATGGATGTGAGAAACATACATCAATTAGTAGCCTCCCGCATGCACCCCAATCTGGGGTCAGGGATCAAGTCTGTAACCGAGGTATGTGGCCCTTGACCAGAATCGAACCCGGAACCCTTCAGTATGCCGACGCTCTACCGACTGAGCCAAACCAACTAGGGCTTTGGTGCCTTCTCACCCCTGTCATTTGCTGCCTCGGATCAGGGTTCCAATGGCAAATTCTGCCTCCCCATGGGAAAGTGCCTGTCTCATCGCCATGTTAGGGCCTCTGCCTCCACCTCTGCAGCTCAGGGAGCCACCTAGGAACTGTCAGAAGGTGGAGGCTTTGACCTTTGACCTTTGTGTCTGCTTAGTGGTGCAGGTGGCAGGCTGTCAGGTGTTTGGTCACTCAGTCGGAATGACATTGTGTCACTTTGAAACTTTGAAGTGTTGGATTTTTTTTAGAAATGAATTTGGGGTCCTACGTTGATTTCTAACTACTGCTTTTGCTGCATTCCCCATAGGTTGTGATGTGTCGTATTTCTATTGTTAAATTAATTTTTTTATGTTTAAATAAATAATTTATGTTCTGGCCAGGTAGTTCAGTTGCCATGGTTTCGGGCTCAATCCCCTGTCAGAAGCCGAATAAACCAATGACAACATAAATAAGTGGAACAACAAATCAGTGTTTCTTTCTCTCCCTTCCTCCCTCTCTCTCTCTCTCTCTCTCTCTCTCTCTCTCTCAAATCAATAAAATAAAAAAATTTAAAAAAGAATTTTTAATAATTTCTATTAGGACATTTTTTTTCTTCAGTCCTCACCTGAGGATATTTTTTCCATTGATTTTTTAGAGAGAGCGGAAGGGAAGAAGGGAGGGAGGATGGGAAAGAGGGGGAGAGAGAGAGAAACATCGGTTGATTGCCTCCCATATGCCCCCCAATCAAGGGATCCAACCTGAATCTGCAACCTAGTATGTGCCCTTGATGGAAAATGGGACCTGCGACCCTTTGGCACATGCGCTGATGCTCCAACCACTGAGTACATGGGCCAGGGCTGCAGACATCTTAAAAAATTTTATTGATTAGAGAGAGAGAGAGAGAGAGAGAGAGAGAGAGAGAGAGAGAGTTGTTGTTCCTCCACTTATGGATGCACTCATTGGTTGATTCTTGTCTGTGCCCTGACCAGGGATCCAACCCCCAACTTTGGTGTGTGGGGACCATGCTCTGACCAACTGAGCTGCCCGGCCAGGGCCTGGGGACTGGTTTGGTTGTCACGAGGGGGTGTGGGCACTGCCAGCATCTAGTAGGTGGAAGCCAGGGAGGCGGTTAACCATCCTGCAATGCACAGGCCAGCTCCCACCACAAAGGAAGTTCTGGTCGCCCGGCCGGCTACGTGTCTCAGTGGCTGAAGGTCGACCTATGAACCAGGAGATCAGGGTTTGATTCCCTATCAGGGCACATGCCTGGGTTGCCGGCTCCATCCCCAGTAGGGGGCGTGCGGGAGGCAGCTGATCTCTGATTCTCTCTCATCACTGATGTTTCTCTCTCTCTCTCCCTTCCTCTCTGAAATCAATAAAAATATTTTTTTAAAAAAAGAATGTTAGGTCTAAGTATCCAAGTGCCAAGATCCAGAAACTCTGCCTCACAGCCTTGTTTTTCCTCCTGCCTCCTGCTGGAAGGCCTTTCCCTCCAGGCTGCCCTTTAAATGCCCTCCTTCCTTAACAAGCCAGCTCAGATGCCCCGCCTCCTGGGAGCAAGGCCCCTGGTGATCCCCACCCCCACCTCCCAGGCTCTCAGAATCCCCCTTGGGAGTCCCCCGAAATGCCCATCGCAGGGGATGTTTGCAATAGTATGAATCAAAGACTAGTCTCTTCCATTGTTTTCATTGTCCCTCCTTGTACTTTACTTGAATGTCTTTATAGCAACTCTGATGGAACTCTGGCCTCGGGGATGACAACGGTCCCTCTTATTTGTTTTAATTTTGGTTGTTTTTTGTTTTGTTTTGTTGGTGTGTGTGTGTTTTAAATATATTTTATTGATTTTTTACAGAGAGGAAGGGAGAGGGATAGAGAGTTAGAAACATCGATGAGAGAGAAACATCTATCAGCTACTTTCTCACACTCCCTACTGGGGATGTGCCCGCAACCAAGGTACATGCCCTTGACCGGAATTAAACCTGGGACCCTTCAGTCCGCAGGCCGACGCTCTATCCACTGAGCCAAACTGGTCAGGGCAGTGTGTTGTTTTTTTAATGTACTTTTATTGATTCCAGAGAGAGGAAGGGAGAGGGAGAGAGAGAGAAACATCAATGATGAGAGAGAGTCATGGATCAGCTGCCTCCTGCATGCCCCACACTAGGGATCGAGCCCGCAACCTGGGCATGTGCCCTGACTGGGAATGGAACTGTGACCTCCTGGTTCTTACATCGGCCCTCAACCGCTGAGCCACACCAAATGGGCAATCTATTTGTTTTTGTTTCTACTGGAGCCTACATGTGCTTTCACCTACAGTAGGATCATAATAAACATCTGTTGAGTGAGTGATATTGTGTACCTTAATATGTCCTCAGATATGGTTACTCCTTCCAGTAATTTTCTTAAAGGACTGAATCCAAAAAAAATCCAACAGGCCTGACTAGAGTGGCTCAGTGGTTGACCATGGACTGTTGAACCAGGAGGTCTGGGTTCAATTCCTGGTCAGGGCACGTGCCCAGGTTGGGGGATCCATCCTCAGTGTGGGGCATGCAGGAGGCAGCTGATAAATGGTTTCTCTCATCATTGATGTTTCTCTCTTTCTCCCTCTCACTTCCTCTCTGAAACCAATAAAAATACATTTAAAAAACAAAGAAAAAACAAATACAAAAAAACAAAACAAAGAAAAAGCAAATACAAAAATCTGAGAGTGTTTGTGTGTGTGTGTGTGTGTGTGTGTGTGTCTGTGAGAGATAATTTGTGTCAGATACTGTGGTCACAAATCGTATATTATAATTATTTGTCTTTATTTCTGCAGCTAATTAGGGAAAAAATAAATGGCATTGAAGGCACGAAACTAGATGACCACTTTCTTGACCTGGAAAAGGTAAGAGCATTTTAATGTCAATTGTGTGAAGAATGTGTCTCATCACATTATCTCACTCCTATGTGGAGTCTAAGTAACAAAATAAACTGATGATCAGAGTGGATGCAGAGACATGGAAGCATGGAACAGAGTGTGGAACCTCGGAGGCAGGGCAGGGGAGGGTGGGTGGTGGGAGGTAATCAACCAAGGACCTTGTATGCGTCTGTGCATGGCCCAGGGACACAGACAATGGGGTGGTGAGGGCCAGGGTCGGGAGGCAGTGGTGGGTTGGAGGGGTGCAATGGGGGGAAAAGGGGACATATGTAATACTTTCAACAATAATGAATTCTTTTAAAAAAGAGAGAAAGAAATCTGGTGGGAAAATTTTTAAAAAAGAAAACAAATTTTGACTGTAGTTGTGAGATGAGACACACCGATCCTGGGAAGAGAGTGGAGTCTAGGATGCTCACACACACGAGTGCATCCTGAAACCCAAAAGGCAGTTTATTCCCAGGTCTCAGCCCAAATGATGACTCTTGATTATGAAGGATCCTGGATACGGCTTGCTGGTTTCCTCTAGTGGACAAAACTCAGAATGTTCGAAAGATGGGCAGTTTTTTTTCCCCATCTAAAACTAGAGGCCCGGTACACAAAATTTGTGCACAAGTAGGGTCCCTAGGCCTGGCCGGTGATCAGTACCAATGTGTGGGGCAACTGGCAGGGTGATCAGGGGGCCCTTGCTGGCACCCGCCTTGGCTGGCCTGGGGCCTGCGGGCTGGGGACAGCTACTGCGTTGAGCATCTGCCCCCTGGTAGTCAGTGCGTGTCATAGTGACCGGTCGTTCTGCTGGTTGTTCTGAAAATTCAGTAAATTTGCATATTAGGCTTTTATTATATAGGATATATATTTTTATTGACTTCAGAGAGAAAGGGAGGAGATAGAAACATGAATGATAAAATAGAATCATGGATTGGCTGCCTCCTGCACGCCCCTCACTGGGGATCAAGCCCACAACCCTGGCATGTGCCCTGACCGAGAATCAAACTATGACCTCCTGGTTCATGGGTCGGTCGATGTCAAACACTGAGGCACATTGGCTGGACAAGATGGGCAGTCTTGGCAAGCAGTTAAATAGCCCGAGCATTGTGGTTATGCACCTTGGAGAGTCAAGAGTGTGTTTCTGGGCAGAGATCCTCATATGCGTACATATTGATGCCCCACATGGAAGCCCTTGGTGCATTCCCTGGGCACAACAGCTGTGTGGTGCATCACCAGGTCCTGGCACTGCCCTCCCACCGGCCTGAGGGCCTGGTGGGCAGGTTCATCTTTTCTGACTGACACAGGGTGACATCCAGCCCTGCTCACCTCGCATTTCTGTTGTGACAGTTATGTGGAACATTCATGCATATGAGAGCATTGGGGAAGTATGATGGGACTCTTTTTTTTTTTTTAATGTGTTTTGCCTGATTGGTGTGAACCAGGAGGTCACGGTTTGATTCAGGTCAGGGCTCAGTCCCCAGTAGGGGGCATGCAGGAGGCAGCCGATCCATGATTCTTTCTCATCATTGATGTTTCTCTCTCTTTCTCCCTCTCCCTTCCTCTCTGAAATCAATTAAATATATATATATATATATATATATATATTTTTTTTTTTTTTAAAATGTGTGTTTTTTTAAATCCTCAGCCAAGGATATGTTTTATTGATTTTAGAGAGAAAGGAAGAAAGAGAGTAAGAGAGAAACATCAACGTGAGAGAGAAACATCTCACTGCCTCCCATATGCACCCTAAGGTCACAGGGGTTGAACCTGTGACCTTTCGGTGTCCAGGATGATGCTCCAACCCACTGAGCGACCGGCCAGGGCATGTCAGGACCCTTAACAGAAACGATTGTGACGTTGTCCCTGGTTCCCTGTTTGGAGCATCCCTGGGGCCCCCAGGAATCGCCAAGGTCCTTCATTTCCTTCCCTTTGTCACCGTCGAAAATCATGTCTGTGTTTTCCTGTGAATTCACCATTTGTCACTTACCAACATTTTATGTGATTTTTTTTTTTTTTTTTAGAAAATAGATATTACCAATAAAGTTGTTACAGAAATTCTTTTGAAAGCCACAGAATACATTCAGCCCAATCCAGGTAACATGGGACAATCTCTGGAACTGTCCTATGGCCCATTCACGGTGACCCACGCTGACCACCCACGTCAGCTGGGCCCTGCCTCGATGTGATCTAGAAACAATGCCCTTGTACCTTGGTTGCGGACACATCCCCAGTAGGAGATGTGCAGGAGGCAGCTGATCGATGTTTCTCTCTCATCGATGTTTCTAACTCTCTATTCCTCTCCCTTTCTCTCTGTAAAAAATTAATAAAATATATTTAAAACAAAACAAAAAAACAAAACAAAAAAAAACAATGCCCTAACGGTTTCAATCATGAAATGTGGTTTTGGGTGTGTTTTTAAAAAAATATATTTTTATTTATTTCAAAGAGGAAGGGAGAGGGAGAGAGAGAGAGAAACGTCAATGATGAGAGATAATCATTGGTCCGCTGCATCCTGCATGCCCCCCACTGGGGTTCGAGCCCACAACCTGGGCATGTGCCCTGACCAGGAATCAAACCATGACCTCCTGGTTGACAGGTTGACTCTCAATCCCTGAGCCACACCAGCTGGGCGCGAAATTCGGTTTTTTGATGTCTACTCTCCAACGACTCTGCGGTTGCCTGGGCTGATGAGTGCAGAGTGGACAGTCCTGGGACCTGTTGGGAGGGCTCCTGGGCCAGCAGCTGGGCACTGCTCAGCAGAGACATGTAGGAGACCCTTCAGAAACCCACTCAGCGTTTTGTAAATGCTTGCTGCTTACTTAGTCATTTCCACCTTTTTTACTTACCTTTGTTGTTGTTGTTGTTAATCCTCACCCAAGGATAGTTTTCCATTCATTTTTAGAGAGAGTGGAAGGGAGAGGGGGAGACAGAGAGAAACATTGATGTGAGAGAAACACATCGATGGGTTGCCTCCTGCAAGTGCCCCGACCAGGGCCGAAGAACCTGCAACCAAGGTTTGTGCCCTTGACCAGAATCAAACCCGGGACCCTGCAGTCTGCAGGCTGACACTATATCCACTAAGCCAGACCGGCTAGGGCTCATTTACTTTTTAAAATATATTTTTATTGATTTCAGAGAGGAAGGGAGAGGGAGAGAGAGACAGAAACATCAATGATGAGAGCGAATCATGGATTGGCTGCCTCCTGCATGCTCCACACTGGGGATCTGCCCACAACCCTGACCCCAGTCGAACTCGGGACCCTTCAGTCCGCAGGCAGGCCAATGCCCTTACTGAGACATACAGGCCAGGGATAAATTAATTTTGAGAGAGGAAGAGAGAGAGAGAGAGAGAGGGAGAGCAAGAGAGAGAGAGGTCCTGATATAGGCTGGTTGCAATGTGTGCACAATTTCCATTTCCCACGTGACTTTGCAACCAATCAGTAGGCACCCACCTGGTTGACGCATCTGCCAATCACGGGAAAGATTAAATAGGTCACTGCGGCCCTTTGGCGCCTCGGGTCTCTGACATGTTGCTGAGGGTGCCCTTGATCTTCCCGGCTGCATTTGTTGCATGCTCTGTGCCTGTCCCTCTGCCCTGTCCCTTGAAGGAATTACAAATGACCCTGTCTTGAAGCATGCAGAGCGAAGCTGGGGATGCTGAGCCCGATGTTGAAGATCCACAATCAGGGGAAGGCCTCAGAGTGCCTGCAGCCAGAGGGCCTGCTGGGTGACTGCATGCTCAAGTACGGCCAGGAGCTGGGCGAGGACTCCACCTTCGGTGAGTGCACAGGGCCCGGAGGGTGGGACACAGCCTGTATCGCCTATAGGTTATACACGAAGCCTTTCTTTTTTCTTTTTTTTTTTTTTGGATTGATTTCAAAGAGTAAAGGAGAGGGAGAGAGAGAAACATCAATGATGAGAATCATGGATCGGTTGCCTCTTGTGCGCCCCCCTACTGGGGATCCTGGGCATGTGCCCTGACCAGTCATCAAACCGTGACCTCCTGGTTCATAGGTTGATGCTCAACCATTGAGCCATGAAGGCTGGCCAGGAGATTTTTTGTTTGTTTGTTTTTGTTAATTCTCACCTGAGGATATTTTTCCCATTGATTTTTAAGGAGAGTGGAAGAGAGAGGGAAAGACAGAAACTTTGATATGAGAGAAACACATCGATTGGTTGACTCCTTCATGGCCAGGTCCCTTCTTGAGAAGCGTGCAACCCAGGTACTTGCCCTTGATCGGAATCGAACCTGGGACTCTGGTCCGAAGGCCAATGCTCTACCCACTGAACAACACTGGCTAGGGCCGGGAGATATTTTTAAGAGAATCTTCAACCTCATTGTGCACAGCTTCAAGGTCTCCCGCTTGCAAATTAATGTGGATTAGCTGTTGCCCAGGTACTGGGGGTCATTCAGGAAGAGCTGCACTTTGCTGTCCACACTGGGCATGGCTGCCCACCCTGCTGGGAGCTACCTGTGTGACACTGCCAGGCTTCCTCCACATCAGGGAGGATCAGGTCGCCTTGCCCTTGGAAGGATCCAGGGTGCGGCCCCAGGAGGACCTGGCAGCAAAAGCTGAGATGAGACGTTCATTCATTCCTATTGTCATCTTCATTGTTGGTGCTTAGCCCAGAGGAGGACTCAATCCTTTTATTGTTTACAAAGAGGGACTTTTTTCTGCAGCTTCTAAAAACCCTAGCGGTTCTCAACCTGTGGGTCTCGACCATCGGAAAACATATATAGCATATCAGATATTTACATTACGATTCATAGCAGTAGCAAAATTACAGTTATGAAGTAGCAACGAGAATAATTTCATGGTTGGGGGTCACCATAACATGAGGAACTGTATTAAAGTGTCGCGGCATTAGGAAGGTTGAGAACCACTGCTAGGGCCAGTTGACAAAAACACATTGTGGTTTGTTTTTTTTACAAAAATTGATCTTTATCTCCATCTAGTGGCCAGAATGGAAAGTGCCTCGGCCTGTCAGCTGCCAGGTGAGTTTGATGTAGAAAAGGAGGGAGTAGAGAAGAAATGTAGAAAGTTTTTATTTTTAGCCTGGCTATCGAGGTTCAGTTGTTGAGTTTCTTTTTTTTTTTTCATTTTTTTTCCAAGAAAAAAATCTTTTAAATATAACAATGTTACATCCAATAAACATTAGTATCTCAAGAGAAACAATCTTTTTTTAAAAAAATATATTTTATTGATTTTTTACAGCGAGGAAGGGAGAGGGTTAGAGAGTTAGAAACATCGATGAGAGAGAAACATCGATCAGCTGCCTCCTGCACACCCCCTACTGGAGATGTGCCTGCAAACAAGGTACATGCACTTGACCTGAATCGAACCTGGGACCCTTCAGTCTGCAGGCCTACGCTCTATCCACTGAGCCAAACCAGTTAGGGCAAGAAAAAATGATCTTAAATATAATGATACATGCAATAAACATTAATATCTCAAGAAAAATGATTATAAACATAATAATATTACATGAAATAAACATTAATATTTCAAGAAAAAAAGGATTTTAATTATTATAATTATTACTAGGGGCCAAGTGCACGAATTTGTGCACCTTGAAAGGAACTGTGGGCCGCGAGGCTGTAGTGGGCACAGGGGTGGGTCTCAGCTTATCCTCCATGCCCCCTCCCGGCCCCTTCTGCCGCAGCCCCCAAAGGCGCCTAGTGATTGGGGCTGGCGCTGGCAGTGGGTGCGAGCGGCGGCTCTGGCACCAGCAGCGGGTGGGAGTGGGGCTGTCACCATCAGCGGGTGTGAGATGCAGCTGCCAGCCTGAATCGCCCCTCAGGAGCAGGGGGAGGTGGAGAAGCCCTGAGGGGTGATTGCTGCTGGCAGCCACTGCTCGCACCTGCTGAAAGCACCAAGCGATGAGGACCAGCGCCGGCCACCAGCCATGGGTGCCAGCGGTGGCTCCAGCACCGGCAGTGGGTGCGAGTGTGGCCAGCACTGGCAGTAGGTGTGAGTGCCAGGTGGGGGCCCTGCGCGCAGGAGCAAAGAATTTTCAGTAACTACCAGCGGCTCGCCCTGATGACAGTGACTGGCACCCCCCCTTGGTCTGGTGCCCCCGCTCACCTGCTGCACCATCCCGCCATGGATGATGCCCTCCATGTTCCACGCACGAACCCTGGTGATCAGCACACATCATAGCAACTGGTTGTTCCTGTTGTTCCACTGGTCTATTGGCATATTAGCCTTTTATTATATAGGATATTCAGTGATTGAGTTTTAACCTAAGAACCAAGAGGTCACGGTTCAATTCCAGTCAAGCGCACATGCCTGGGTTGTGGGCTTGATCCCCAGTAGGGGCCATGCAAGAGGCAGCCGATCCATGATTCTCTCTCATCATTGATGTTTGTCTCTCTCTCCCTCTCCCTTGCCCTTCCTCTCTGAAATCCATGAATATATGTTTTTAAAAAAAGGAAGTTTTTGTTTGTATTCTTTTCCTCGTCAGTCCCTGAGTGAAGACCTTGTTAAATAAACCATCACCCACATACCTTGGGCAAGAAGTGAATAGCGCTGCCAACCTCCGTGCGCTCTGTGAACGAGCGCTTTTTATTTGTTTTTCTGTGCCAGGCAGCGCGCTGACCGATATGGGCGAAGCTATGAAGCTGATGGTGGAGGTGAAAGAATCCTTTGATATTAACGTCAAGGAAACCTTTATTGATCCACTCCAGTTAGTACACGACGAAGATTTAAGTGAGATTTCGGTAAGTTTTCTCGGCTATAACCCCCCACATTGCTACTTAAAATGATGTTTGTAGTTAAAACCATGGAGACGTGTCTCTGTAGGGACCCAGCGAAAGCATCATCTTAGTGTGGGTGGTGAAACAGATAATCACTCAGTGATGTTCACTTGGCCCCCTGGGCAGGAGCCCCAGGAACCATGAGCCCTTTATCCTGTAGCTTTTTTTGTGTGTGTGCACGTGTGTTTTTTAAGGTAAAGGTGTTTATTTATTTTAATACTTATCCAAGGATATTTGTTCCATTGATTTTTTAATTTTAATTTTTAAAAAATGTTGGGAGCCATTATAAATCACATATACATCTCCAGCTTACAGCATAATAGGTTTATGGCTCCTCCAAGCCAACTCCCGGTTTGGCCTGGAGTTAAAAGACAACCTTGCGATTTAGCCTGGAGTTAAAAGATAACATACCCTCACCCTAAGCACACAGCTGCTACATCTCCGCTGATAAGCTCACAGCTGCGACATTCCAGAGCCTCCTACATCCCTAGTGATAGGCTACGCCCATGGACCTCCTTGCCCACCCCCTCCCTCTAGAACAACATAAATTCTACCCGCTGTAAAAATAAAATTGAGGCTTGACCAGAACTTTGTCTTGCCTCCATTTCTTCGCATCTCCTATCCTCTCATTCCTTTGCAGGATTTGGTGCGGTGTACCCACGAAGCATGCCCTGCAGGTCGGGGCATAAAATGGCGCCCAACGTGATCTCCGCTCTCCAATCCTCCTCAGGAACGTTCACTTTTTGTCCGGCCGGACCTCCCCTTGGCGCCACTGGGATCGCCCTGTGAGTCAGCCTGCTTTTTTCCTGGTTGCCGCTTTGCTTACCCGCTCTGCGAGTCAGACCTGTTGCTTTGGTAAGTGAACGCATTCATTTTGGATAGGCATTCTCTTCCCTCATTGCCTCCCCCCTTGTCTCCTGCCTCTAGTCCACTTTGAGCACTCTCTTGTTGTTTCGGGGAAGAGTGAAAGGTACCCGATTTCGGCGGAGAGAACTCCAAATCACTCAGGCTTGTCCCTTGGTTTCGTTCCACGTGGTTGACTCCTTCCAAAAACCCTGCATTCACCTTGTCTTAGTGGTCATTCTGAGAAAGTGGGGACTCCAGCTGAGACTCTGAAGTAAGTGTTTTTGCCTACTTTAAAGCTTAAACCGTCCACCCCAAATTAGAAGTAAACCAGAAAGAACTTGTGTCAGTGTTACTCTGGGAAAACTCCTTGCCTACTTTAAAACGTAAGCCGTCCACCTTGTGAGCACTCATGGGGTGCCTGACTCCCGACTGGTGAATGCCTGAGGGTCCTAGCAGGTTACCTGCCTCACAAGGGTCCGAGTTGGCGGATTATACCAACCGGCTGTTTACGTAGGAGGAGTGAGCTGCAGAAGCAGCTCCTAGGAAGGCACTTGAAAACAAGTTTCGATCTGGGGAGCTCTGATCTAGGGGTCCGAGTTGGCGGATCATACCAACCGGTTGCTTACGTAGGAAAACACACCTGTGGCATAAACAGGACTGAAGTAGTCTCAGCAGAGAATTTCTACATCCCGACCTATGACACGTGAACAGGGGCTTCTTTTGAGGTGGCGGTTGGCATCTTCCTCGCTGGTTCGTCTCCTTGTCGACTCCTGGGCTGACCTGGTACGGGGTTTATACGTCCCGGAGGCTTACGTGGAAGAGGCTAAGACATGGGTCAGGCTCTGAGTTCTCATGATCTGTTTCTTAAAGGACTCAGGGAGTCCCTCAAGGCGTGAAGATTTAGGGTTAAAAAGAAAGATTTAAAAGGCTTCTTGAAGGACTCAGGGAGTCCCTCAAGGCGTGAAGATTTAGGGTTAAAAAGAAAGATTTAAAAGGCTTCTTGAAGGACTCAGGGAGTCCCTCAAGGCGTGAAGATTTAGGGTTAAAAAGAAAGATTTAAAAGGCTTCTTAAAGGACTCAGGGAGTCCCTCAAGGCACGAGGATTTAGGGTTAAAAAGAAAGATTTAAAAGGCTTCTTTACTTTTAAGAAATGAAACCCCGCTGCCGAATATCTCTCTGGTTCGGAGAGATTCAGAGATGGCAGGAGAGGGCAGAGCTGTGGGCTCTCCTGCAATGAGATTACTTGCTAGCCATGACTTTAGAAAGCGGAATAGGAAAAAATTTAAAATGTCTTCTTCTATTAAGCATGACTTTGGGAACAAATACGCCATCTAAGTCATTTGCTAAAACTTCCCCCAAAGCAGGATATGTAGGGGAAAGGAAAAAGGAGCACATGGCGATCCTATATGGATGCCTCCTCCCCAGTATTCAAATTTAAAATCTCCTTCTCATAATTAAAAAAGTTTTACAAAATTTAAAAAATGCGTCTGAGATTTCTGTTCACGTGTAAAGAGAAAAACTGGCTTGGAACTAAAGCGCGCATCATCCGATTTTGGACATTTAGATAGAGTTTTGAGCTAAAAATCTCTTTACAAATGTACAGAATAAAACCCAAGACTGATTATTTCCTAAGAAAAATGGCATATTTGAGCCAGGGAAGAAATGCAGGCTGGTTCTAGCAATAAGATTGGTATATTTCCATAATAAAGAGTGATTTTTGAAATGTTAATAAAGCCTGTTCCAAAGTTAATCTTAAAAGCCTCAAAGAAATTTAGTAAAATTGTCTGTTACAGAAAATTTACCAAAATAACTGCCTTAAAATAATAATTTAGATTTGAATCTCAAGAATTATTGATCTATATTAATTATAAAAATCTAAGTAGCCCAGGTAAAACACAGCTACGCCCTTTAATTAAGGCTGGCTTCCCAAAGCAATTTCTAAGGGAGGAAGGGCTAGCCTCCCTTCCCCCAACAGAACAAGCAGGTAGGCAAAAATTTCCTGCCTGTGGCAACTTCTAAAGAGAGGCTTGCTTCCCAGTTTCCCATCCTTGGGAGCAATGGCAGCCCAAGGCTTTGGGAGTTTGCTAAATTGAATTAGATAGTCTGAAATAACAAAATGCTAAATATTTAACTTGCCAGCTAAGAGTTTAAAGTTCTGGTTAAATAAATTTGGAGAAATCATATAATTATAGTAATATTTAACTTGCCAGCTAAGAGTTTAAAGTTCTGGTTAAATAAATTTGGAGAAATCATATAATTATAGTAAAATTTCAACATTTGTCTAATTGAAAAAAGAGGATAAATTTTGTAATCCCAACCGAAATTTTTAAATATAAAGATCAGTTTAAATTTAATTGATATCTCTTAATAATTAGAAAAGGTATATAATCTTTAAATCATATATACACATATATATTTGGTGGTCTTTCAAGTTGGATTTCAAAACTATAACCAAGGAAGTTGGATTTCAAAACTATAACCTGGGACATTTCATGGGCCCTGAAATGCTTTCAAAAGTTTATTCTCTCTTCTTAAAGGATTTTTTTAATAAAACCAATTTAATATACTTGAAATCACATAGAAAGCTTTATCATATATAAATTAATAAATATATTTTAAGTTTTTGCCTCTGAGAAAGGGCAAAACAAGTAATTTTGTTTAATATTTCTTAAAATACAGCAATGGAATTTTAAGATGTAATTTGAGATAACAAAAGCTCCTCGCCGTTGCATTTTAAATTAGGCTGGAGGTGGGGCAGCGTTTGCCCCTTGTGAATCAAAAGTTTACTAAATACTAAATTTACTTGCTTCGCTTTGCCTTTTTAAAAAAAATACTTAAATTACTAATCTTTGTAAGCAATTGAATCCTAGTAAAGTAAATTCTTCTATAAAGGTTACTGAAGGCTTTCCATGATTCCTCTATATATGCAAATAAGCCAAAGGGTATACTCTTTAAAAATACAATTACTAACATTTAGAGATTGTTGTTAAAATACTAAATCTGACAATAATTAGTCACCATAAATAAAATAATCACTTGAAATATATGGCTTTGCGGCAGTATTTGTTAAAATCTCAAAAGGCAACCATGTTTCTTACATTTGTTGCTTGTGTGAGAAAGAACTGTCTGGAAGGAAATAAAAAGAGGTTTCCTTCAGATGTCTAACTAAAATTAAAAATCAATATATTGGGCCTCAAAAGCTAAATTAAATAATTTGTGTTTTGTCTCCTTAAACAAAGTTTATGTAAATTTACCCAAAGACTAATACCAGAAATTTAATTAATGTCATTTACTGTCCATAACTTAGGACAAGTAAAGTTAAAAGAATAAATGTTATTTCAAACTGACTTAAAATTGGCAAATTGGGTTAAATGGGTATTCAGGGGAACTTAATTGTCACCTATTAAAAGATAAACTTTTACAATTTTTATATAAGACCTCCATCATTATACCAAAAAATACTACGCAGGAACCAATTCCTGGAGCTTTAACTGTTTTTACTGATGGGTCATCAAATGGGAAAGCTGCCTATCATACTATAAATTCTGACCGAGTCATATTGACCAGTCATACTTCTGTGCAAATAATTGAATTAAAAGCTATTAAGGCTGCGTTGCAGATTTCCAACAGCCTATTAATATAATTTCTGATTCCTCTTATGCTTCGTGCCTAGTAAGAAGAATTGAAACTGCCCAGTTGAAATGGTTTAGCAACCAAAGTTTATTCTTACTATTTAAGCAGGTTCAGCAGATTGTACAGCAGAGAAAATACCCTTTTTTGGCTGTCTAATTTATTCCCCTACTTATAGGACTGGGGGTCTCTGGAGCTGTGTCCTCTGGCACAGCTGGATTAGGAACCGCATTACATACTTATAATAAATTATCTAATCAATTAATTAATGATGTTCAGGCTCTTTCAGGTACTATCAATGATCTCCAAGACCAAATTGACTCCCTAGCAGAAGTAGTTTTACAAAATAGAAGAGGATTAGATTTACTTACAGCAGAGCAGGGAGGAATATGTTTAGCCCTACAGGAACGCTGCTGTTTTTATGCCAACAAATCTGGAATCGTCGAGACAAGATAAGAAAACTCCAGGAAGATCTGGTCAAAAGGCGA